GGCCCCTCACTCAGTGTGAAGAGCCCAGGCTGGCCCCTCACTCAGTGAAGAATCCCCCAGGCTGGCCTTGAACGTCTGTTCCTCTCCCCGCAACCTCCTGAGCACTGGGATCACAAAAAAATATACCAGGCCCAGCTTGTTTTTAACATTTCTATTTTTTTCTTAATTGTCCTTCAAGTTTCTAGAAGGCTTTTTCAGCGGGTGGATCTTTCTGCGCTAATTCCCTGAGAGCTTCAGCATTTGAACACAATGCGAAAAAACAGCATGTTCTACATTCCTGGGCTAGGCACGCTCAAAACTCCCTCTCCTGCAAAGGTTTTGCTTGTGTGTCCTTACTGTTTTGTTCTTTAAAAAAATCCTTCAAGGTCCCTAATTCTAACAGCAGGCTTGTAATTCCTGCACTCTAGAGCCTGAGGCAGGAGGACCGCCAGGAATTCCAGGGTACAGTGTGAGCCATTCACCCCAGAAAGTATATAAATTAAATGTTTTCTAATTCTATCGATCCGCAATTCCTGATCAGTTAACTCTTGATTTTATTCTATCACTTGGTCCATGATTGATGTGGACTCTACTGGCCAAATAACACAGACGGTGGCCATGAGGGGCAACGTCACAGTTCTCCTGCCAAGGGCTGCTATTTCGCAGGATCGTAAAGGTCAGAGCTATTTGGGGGCTTCAAAGCTCTGGCATGTACAACAAAGACTAGCCTCCCCCCCCACACACTGTCAGTACAAAGTGAGTGATCTGGAACAAGGCAGGCTGGGCCAGGAGGGGGGGAAGTGAGCGAGGCACAGATTCCCCTGGCATCTGTTGTGGGGTCGTATTCTGAGGCCCAAATTCCTCACCAGGAGCCACTGCCATGCTGACAAAGGTGTAGCTGTGGATTCAAGAAGTGTCGGGACATGAAGCTGTCCACTGGGAAGACAAGGCCTGTGCGTGTGTGCGTGTGTGCGTGCGTGTGTGGTGGTGACGGGGGTGTATGGATTGGATGAGAAGAGTTTGCTAGCTTGTAGCTTGGGTTTCTCTTTTGCTTTCTTGCTTTTGTTCTGCTTTTTTTTTTTTCTTCTTCTTCTTTAAAAAAAAAAAATAAAGGCAGCAAAAAGGGAGAAATCTGAAGAGAATTATCATTTATCTGCAATACTCAATGTTCAACAATGTTCAACCCAAAGCTAATCAGAGGTGACCAAAACCACTTTAAACAACTTGGACCCACCCGTGACGGCTCGCTGGTACTGAAAGGGTCAGATTGACTTTGTAACCTGTATGTCTTCTAAAGCCTGTAGCTTTGAGTTTTAGGTCCAGGTTAAGCTAAAGTTTCTTAGTACCTTTCCAGAGAATGGACGAATGTGACCCTATCTGTGAGGACAGATATATAAAAAAAAAAAAAAAAAAAAAAAAAGCAGGCAATGACCTTCACTCAGCAAAAGGAACGACCAGACCCTTGTCTTCGAGATAGTGTTTCTTAGCAACCAACCCAGACGGCCTCAATCCTTCTGAGTAGACCCTGACCTCCAGCCAAAAGTCTGTAGCCCCTGATCGTCAAGGATGAGCTAACCACTCCCACCTTTAATTGCAGCTGCATCCACACTTGGCAGGACTGGCCAAGCTTGAGCACCTAAGACTAACCAATTATCTTACTTTATAGCTTCCTCATCCAATCCTAAATTGCCAAGACTGCAACTTCAAAATTAAAACCCAAGGCCTTGTCTCCCGGTGCCATTCAATGCTGACCGGCAGGGGTGACCCCATTGCGCAATGGTTAAAATAAACCTCTTGTGATTTTGCAACGATGAGATCTGGTCTCCTGAGTTCTCTTCATCGCTTCTAAAAATTAGGCTCGCATGCCCGCGCTTTGGAGGCAGAGGCACGCACGAGCAGCTTGGTTTACACGGTAAGTGCCAAGCCAGGAGTGACAGATAATAATAAAATAGCAGAGCAAAAAATCACGTTAAAATGCAGAGGTCTGCTTCACTTCAGCGCCTTCACTGTCAAACCAGAGGAAGGCACTGCTTCAGCTCCTGCTGACCAGGGTGTAAGGACCTCTGCTGAAGCCAACCCTGAACTTCATGCTATCCTTGTTCTTGATCTTGATGGATCTGACATCCTTCTTCTACCTGGCTCTGAGCAGAAAGTCCTTGATTTCCTCAATGTTCTGAGGCTTGGTGAGAGAAGCTCAGACAACCACACCCAAAAAACTCAGAGTGGCGGGAAACCTTTAGTCAAAACGTAAAATTCCAGGAATCCACACCACAGATTTTATTCAGTAAAAGCGAAGAAAATGATTGACCTGGGAGCTGAAGCCTGTGAAGACAGTGCTTGGGAGAGAGAGCAGATCAAGAGGTCAAGTGCGGCTCCTGGGGGCTCCGGGGCCAGCCTGGGCTACAGTTGATAGCCAGAATGTCCAACTACAGAAAAACTGCTTAATACTTTACACAACTATCGTCAAACTTTAGGTTGTTGCTACAATTATAAGGAATACAGAATTATATGTTTAACACAGCTGTTGGGTAAAAGAAACAAGACAAACAAGCACCATCAGTGAAGACGAAGAGAGCAGTCTAAAGCAAAAACATCGGCGTGGGATAATATACGTGACTACTAATTTTAAAGGGATTAACTATAGTTACATATTTTTTTTCGAATAGAACGTTTTTTTGCCATAAATACATTTTCTAAACAGGACCTGGGGGACTGTTCTCTAACAACTTCTGTTAGGATAACTAAATGTTTATTCAATCGATGGCTTGGAACCAGAAACTCCGACAAATCTAAGACACTTTATGGAGTAGGAAAAAGTGTCACTGTAGTAAAGGGTTTCTTATCATGTTTTACCTCAAGGTACCATTACGCAGGTAACTAACTAGAAAACAAGTTACAGCAGTGACCCCGACGTGATTTGAACACGCAACCTTCTGATCTGGAGTCAGACGCGCTACCGTTGCGCCACGAGGCCCCCGCGAGCAGGGAGGCTGATGAGGTTCGTGAACAGAAGCGAGCGGGACAGTGTCCCGGCGCGCGCGCGACCGGGGAAGCTGCGCCTCGGGCGCGTGGCAGCAAGAGTTCGCTCCGGGCCACATCTCTCAGCGCCCCCGCTGGCGGGGCCTGGCCAGGCCACAGAGGAGACCTGAGGCTAGGGTCAGCGGACCCGGACGGCGGGGAGGAGACGAGGGTGGGGTGGGGAGGGGAGGGGAGGGGCCGCAGCGGGGCTGCAAACGGAATAAAGTGCGGTTTATGGAAAGAAATAACGTTTAACTAAAAAGCGACCTCATGGAGTAGGTGACTCCTAGCCCGAGGCTGACACTTCATCCCTGAAACCCAAACCCACGTCCTCTGGTGGCTCCGGATCCAGCGTTTGTTCCTTGTGCTGCTGCTTCCGCCAGCAGAGCGGCAGAGACGCATGAAGTGAGTATGAATACGACCGCTAGCGAGGCGCTTCCCGTCTGCGTTGGTGGTATAGTGGTGAGCATAGCTGCCTTCCAAGCAGTTGACCCGGGTTCGATTCCCGGCCAACGCAGCGGTGACTCTTTTTTTTTTTTCTTCTTCCCTTTAGCTTGCAAAGTCAGTGCACCTAGACACCGGGACTCTCCCGTGTGTGCACGCTGCGCCGTTATCGTTCCTGGGCCACTCGGCGGAAATCCAGAGCTCTGCCTCTCAGGGGCTCCTCCAATTCCATGGATGTCACCGCGTGCAAAAAAATATAAAACCAACTGCACTTCTCCCCGTCGGGGAATCGAACCCCGGTCTCCCGCGTGACAGGCGGGGATACTCACCACTATACTAACGAGGAGTCAGCTGACGCCGGCGCTATCTGGATCCCTGATCTGGGCTCCGGAACAAGCCGCCCGCCAGGGCGGACCCCGCGCCGAGGAGACACGCGGCAACCCACGCCCGTGAAAGGCCGCAGCGGGGAGCGGGCCCAGAACGCCCGACACAGCAGGAGGGAGCGACCGGCGCCGAGGGCCCCGAGGCCGAGGAGACCGTGCTCCGTCCGTCCCGGCTCCGCAGGAGAGCCTCGTCACGCGGCGTCCGCAACCCCAGGCGGACATCGGCGAACTCGGCTCCAACCTCCGGCCCCGACCGTAGCGTCCAGGCACGCGCTCGCAGTGGACGCAGTTCGGCCGGCCGCTGACCCGCGCCAAGCTTCCTGCCGCCCTGGGGCAAAAGGAGTAAGCCAGGGCTCGTCCGGGATTTGAACCCGGGACCTCTCGCACCCGAAGCGAGAATCATACCCCTAGACCAACGAGCCGACAGGCGCCCGCCCCTGCGGACGCCCATAGAGGTCGTAAACATCCGCTGCGGCCCGCACGCCACGACGCCCGGGCGGCGGGAGGCCGGCCGCTCGCAGGGCCTTCGCGGCCGCGGGCGGCCATCCGCTGCGGGGCGCCGGCCCGCGGGCTGCGGCTCCCGCCGGGCGGCGGCGTCCGGAGACGGGAGGTGCGGGCTCGGCCGTGCCCGCGAGCCTCCG